TGACAAATCCCTTAAACCACGGGTGTCAAACTTGCCGCGTCACATGATGTATCATGACGTATTGCAACTTTTTTCACATTGCCAGAGCTGGGGTGGGTGCGGCCTCTGCATGATGCAACTGGCCTGCAGGCCAGCAGTTTGACACCTCTGCCTTAAACGATGCACTGGGAAACTTTCCTCAGGACACCTACACTTAGCATAGCAGTTAAGAAGTTCCTTCTACATACAAGTATGTTATGATATAGATTGGCAATGTGTCTCTGTATACTCACAACACAGTGTGAGGTGGCAGAACTTGGTAGTTCGAGCTGATTAACTTCTGTAGACAAGATACCATGATAGCCTGGCCAATATTCTTTCTATTTTCCAAGTTGCTCTCATCTTTCGGGTTTTAGGCAGCTTCTTACAGGTGTTGCAAGAGGCCTGAAGTGACTCCAAAGTTACTGTGGTTATTGGTATGTCTCATCTTGAAGGACAATATGAAATTGTAATGTTGGAATGAAACATTAACAACATTGAATTCACCTTGATGTATGATAGTGCAAGACGGTCCTCTCTCTCCTCTGTTAATATGTTTAATATATTTTAATTATTTATAGCTTTAATTGTTGGGTATCATTATGGCATCATTTTGCATGTTAAAACGTGTATTTTAATTAATGTATTGCAGTTAAACGCTATATCAGAAAAGGCATTCCAAATGAGCACCGTGCCGAAGTCTGGATGGTAGTGAGTGGTGCTCAGTCTCATATGGATTACAACCCAGGCTACTACCAGAAATTATTGGAAGGAGACCATAACAGCAAACTTGTCGAAACTATTATGACAGGTTAGCTTCAAAATACATGTCTATACATTGTTTTGTATGTGTGTGTGTGTGTGTGTGTGTGTATTAGGATTTTGTTGTCCACATTTCCCTGCACAGATGTAATACCTATAAGTATGACCATCTTCTTGCATTGTGGAGGTGCATGAAATAAATAATTATTGTTTTGCACAGAAACAATGGTTTTTTATGTCAATTAAAACATTATCTTAAGAATCACTGAATTATTTCTCCTTGTCTCTCACTACCTGTCAGAAAAAATTGGCAGATATGTTACCGTTAATCTAGTACTAATTCTAATATAAAGCTCTTAAGTTTTAGTTCCTGCAAGTTTAGAATTCTGTGATAAATTTTCCATTAACTTGCTGCAACTTAATTTTTCTAAATTAGTTATGGGAAGATGAGAGGTAGTCCTAGAGCAGACATGTTAAACACAAGGCCCGGGGGCCGGATGTGGCCCGCAAAGTGGTTTCATGTGGCCCGCGAAGCCATCCTGAAAACAGTGAGGGAACGGCCCCCGCTGCCTTGGCCCAGGCCCAGGCCGGCCGGGAGCCAATATACAATTTTGTGGTGGCCATCTATGCTGAAACACATTCAGTCTTAGCTCCACAAGGCTGTCTGGAAACAGTGAGGAACCAGGAGAACCTTGAGCAGCAGCCTTGAGGAAGTGGGGCTGGGCTTGGTGCCGCGGGTGCTCAAGGGCCAGGCTGGGCATTTGACCTCTGCAGCCCACACCACCAACCCCCCCCCCCGCATGGCCTGAGAGGAACAGTGAGGCTCCTCCAGTGGACCATGCCTTGGCACTTACCCTGGTCCCACTCCCTTCTGCCAGAGACCCTCAGATCTGTCCCACTCCTGCCCAGGCCCCCACAGTCCCCCTTGACACGAACGATGTAGTCTGGCCACGCCCACCCAGTAGGTCACACCCACTCCATCCACACCCACCCAGTAGGCCGCACCCACCCTGGCCGCACCCACTTGGCCCACTGAGGGCAACCGCAATGCTGATGCGGCCCTCAATGAAATTGAGTTTGACACCCCTGTAGAGGAAGCTAAATAATGACTGAACAGTTCTACACTAGATTTTCCCAACTGTATCACAGTTGTGCTGGGATTGCGGTTCTAAAAATGTCCACAATGGGAGAGTGTAAAATTCCAACAAATCTAGACAACACTGTGTTTGAGAAGACTGTTTGAAAACAAGTGAAGCTGCTTTTCTGCGACTGCCTTTATATCATTGCATAGAAGTCTTCCTTCACCTTGTGCCCACTGGCTATTTTGGGCTGCAGCCTCTGACCCAGTTCAGCTGGTGGAAGTTTTAAGCTCTGAAGGTCATTGAGGTGTGGAACACTAGAACTGAATGCTGAAATATGCTGAAATCTTTTACTCTATTTTTGTTTTTGCTGCTTTAGTTTGAAAATTAAATTGCTATTTTTTAAAAAATGAATAGTGTTTTTGGATTATCCTGATAGATTAATTTGGAGGAATTCATAGGAAATAAAGGTAATATTTCTCTGAATGTGATAAATGTTAATTGACATAAGCAAATTGATACAATGGTAGTAATGTAAAAAGATTTTCTGTTTACAAAGCAAGTGTCCTCAAGAAACAATTAAGATTATTACTATTCGAGGCTTTTTTAACCAGCATTTTACAGTGTGGTTGGAATAGATATTTGTTGAAGCAGCTGAAGCAAGTCCTAACAAGGCTGAGCTAATGTTAAAAACATACAAGGAGAAGAACTACAGGCAAAAACTGAGTTATCAGAAAGTAATGGTCTAGAATGTAAATAGTCACATGCAGGTTCCTGGAAATGTGCCAACTGGCTCATGAGCAAGAAAAAGAACTACAGGTAGTCCTCGACTTACAACAGTTCATTTAGTGACCATTCAAAGTTAAAACAGCACTGAAAAAAGTGTCTTATAACAATTTTTCACATTTATGACCGTTGCAGCATCCCCATGGTCATGTGATCAAGATTCAGACGCTTGGCAACTGACTCATACTTATGCCGGTTGCAGTGTTGAGAAAATGTGACGAGAAAAGTTGTATAATGGGACAAAACTTACTTAACAAATGTCTAATTTAGTAACATAAATTTTGGGCTCAATTGTAGTCATAAGTTGAGGACTACCTGTAATCAGAAGGAAAAAGGCCTGGATACATATAGCATGAGAATTTGATATCCCAAAGAGAAGATATTTTTGCCAATAAGAAAGGGCAAGATACAATGAACAGGTGGAGAAAGTAAATAAAGAATTTTGTTAGAAAGTTTGAAGGACAGTAAACAAAGATAGGTTTCCCACAACAAGACTTCCCCAGAATGGTTATTCTGAAATGTAACATAGTATATATGCCCTAGTTTAAAAGGGAATGGGTGAAAAAAAAATCAAGTATTTGAAGCTGACCAACTTAAGAGATTCCCTGTGCAATGATGGGAAAGCTCATACAACAAAACCTATCCTGCCTCGATGTCCCCCTAGTTACTCAAAGGGTATTGGTATCAGAGTGAATGTAGACTGAGTAACAAATAAGGTTGTTTAAGATTATAAGATACAGGTAGCCCTTGACTTACAACAGTTCACTTAGTGAACAGTTCAAAGTTACAACATCATTGAAAAAAATGACTTATGACCATTATGCAGCATCCACATGATCATGTGATCAAAGCTTGGATGCTTGGCAACTGACTCATATTTATGATGGTTGCAGTGTCCCGGGGTTATGTGATCAGCTTTTGCGACCTTCTCACAAGCAAAGTCAATGGGAAAGCCAGATTCACTTAACTGTATTACTAATTTAACAAGTGCAGTGATTCACTTAATAACTGTGGCAAGAAAGGTTGTAAAATGGAGCAAAATTCACTTAACAAATGTCTCACTTAGCAAAATAAATTTTGGGCTCAATTGTGGTCGTAAGTCGAAGACTACCTGTGTTTTTCTCCAGTTTCGGTTTATGTATTTTTTAGGGATGCAGGTAGTCTTTGACTTTGACTTATGACCATAATTGAGTCTGGAATTACAATCATAAGTTCCAAAGATGCTTTTTTCAGGAGGCAACTGGACTTTCTTGCTTTTTTTTTGAAGATGTTTCGCTTCTCATCCAGGAAGCTTCTTCAGCTCTGACTAGATGGTGGGGAGTGGAAGGATTTATATTGCTTACAGACAGAAGCAATATAAATCCTTCCACTCCCCACCATCTAGTCCAAGGGTTCTCAACCTTGGCAACTTTAAGACTTGTGGACTTTAACTCCCAGAATTCCTCAGCCAGCAAAGCTGGCTGAGGAATTCTGGGAGTTGAAGTCCACAAGTCTTAAAGTTGCCAAGGTTGAGGACCTCTGATCTAGTCAGAGCTGAAGAAGCTTCTTGGATGAGAAGCCAATGTCTTCAAAGAAAAAAACAAGAAAGTCCAGTTACCTCCTGAAAAAAGTACCTGTGGGCCAACCATACCTGTATGACTGAGAATCTCCACAGACAATCATAAGATGTCAAGCGGGTCATCATGTGACTGACCCGAATTTGAGTTTTTTTCCCAGTGGTTGTTAAGCAAATCTGCAGTTGTTAAGTGAACCGATTGTCCCAAATGGGCATTTTTTGTCAGAAATGGGAAATAAATGCCAATTTCTGGCAAAAGATATTGTAAATTGCAATCATGTGACTTAGGATGCTGCAAATGGCCATAAATGTGGGTTGGTTACCAATTACATGACTATAGTGGGGGGGGGGGAGCCATCATAACTTAGAACCCAGGTTGTAAGTTCCTTGTTTGGATCTGTGATAGCTTTAAATGGTTGCTAAGTGACCAGTCAGGTTGAGGACTGCCTGTACCTAACTTTTATAGCAATAAAAATGTTTTTTTTGCAATCTTATCCAACAGAATAACTCCTTATCCAACAGTGACCATGCAGTGCTGCTCTAGAGAAAAAATAAGACTAAACCTCAATAGTATAACATTATCCATATAGCCATGTACAGGTAGTCCTTGACGTATGACCACATTGGAGCCCAAAATTTCTGGTGCTAAGCAAGGCAGTTGAATCATGCCCCATTTTACAACCTTTTTGTCACCATTATTAAGTGAATCACTACAGTTAAGTGAATCATGCAGTACTTAAGCGAATTTGGCTTCTTCCATTGACTTTGCTTATCAGATGCTCCCTAAGAAGGTTGCAGATGACAGTCCCAGGACTCCAGGATGCAGCAGCCATCATACATGTCAGTTACCAAGTGCCCAAATTTTGATGGGGATGCTTCAAAGGTTGTAAGTGTGAGAACTGGTCATAAGTCACATTTTCAGTGCCATTCTAACTTTGAACAGTCACTAAATGAATGATTATAAGTCAAGGACTGCATCTATAGTGCTTCCTGGCTGTTCTAAGTAAAATCCTAAAAGCAGTGTCATTTAGCCATATAACTAACATTGCATAAGTATGCAGTAACATATAAGTCTTTAAGCATCTCTACAAGCACCACTGCTACCTATACCAACCACTCTATCCTGCAGGGTTCTCTGGATCAGTTTCAGTGCCTGCTAATTTAAAATTCATGTCTTTATTAAAGGGGGAGTTGGAATACTAAATAGGACTCCAATTTGGTCACACTCAAGACAAACCTATTTTACTGAAAACTGGGCATGCCCAGAAATGCAGACAGGAGGAAGAGCATGATGGGAAATTCTTGATACTTTAAGCCAAAATGTATTACTTAATTATCATATTTTAGCTGTCCCTTCTACCCCTTCAAATATAGCTATATATTCATACACATTCTTGTATGTGTCTTTGTGGCTCTTCTGAGTCTTGCGAGAAGAGAACGTCATCATCTTAAGTGATTTAAATAGGCACTACTGATTTTTATTCCATATTTATTCCATCCAGTCTGGTTTGTGAATTACTTCTTCAAGGCAGGCTGAGAAAAGGCTAGGGCTAGGCGATATTGTATTGCCTTGTCGTACACACCTCGTTCTATGTTGATTTCCACTTTAAGGTCATTAAGGCAAATTGTTGCCATTGTTTTTTTCATATAGTTATTGTAGTAAGTTTATGTAAGCAGTGTTTATGCGTTGGTTGAATAATGCCTTAATTTGCATGCTGGAATACTGAGACACATACAACAGGAGAACCATTTGGCTTAAAAATAAACCTAAAAAAGAACCAGGTTATGTTGAATAAATTCACCAAAGAAAGAAAAAAAATTATATCTGGAGAAAAACTAGACATATACAGATATACAGACTACATATACAGATCCTTGGCCAACGGATCTCAATGCAAGGTGATACAATAAAGGAAATTGAATGGCGTGTTAAATGTAGTTGGCAGGCATTTGGCAAGCTAAGCATAATTTTCAAGAACAGCCTCCCCCGATGTCTGAAGAGAAAGGTTTTCGATCCGTGTGTGCTACCTGCTCTAACATATGCCGGTGAAACATGGACACTAACCTCACAATGGATACAAAAGCTATGAGTGGCGCAAAGAGCCATGGAAAGATACGTGCTCGGCATTACAAGACAAGATAGAAAGACCCACAGATGGATTAGAGAACAAACGAAAGTATACAATATCATCAAGAGAGTAAAAGAATTGAAATGGAAATGGGCTGGTCACATAGCAAGAAGAACTGATGGCAGATGGACCAAGGCAGTCACAGAATGGATCCCACTTGATAAAAGCATCCATAAAAGAGACCTAAAACAAGATGGATTGACGATATCAGCAAGTATTGTGGGCCCAGTTGGCAAAAGAAAGTTCAGGACCATATTGGTTGGCAACATGAGGAAGAGGCCTTCATCCTGCAGTGGACAGAAAATGGCTAAAATGATGATGATGATGATGATGATGATGATGATGATGATGATGATTCATACAAGTTAGTCTTTGCTCACAGTTCTTAGGAGTGATATATTTCTTAAAGCTAGTGTGATTGCAAGGAAATAAATTTTACTGAACTCATTGGAAATTATCTTTAAATAACTTTGAACAGGTCAGAGCAACATGTCAGTTTAATAGAGGCAGGTTTCTCAGTCTTTTAATTTCATATATATATTCTTTTGGCTGGTTTTTGTATTTAAGGATGCGGCAGTAAAAGTAATTAAACCTTAGTCTTAAAAAATTATTGAGAAACTTACATTTTTATAATATAATTCTATGATTCTTTTTACTTATTTGAAGTTAAATTCTCTTGGGTTCAAGAATTATTCATTAGGATGCATCTAGAAGTGCAATCTGGCGAGAAATGATGGATTTTGTAGGATGAAAGAAAAACATAAATGTTTGATGTAGGTTTTTGTTTTTGAGCAAAATATTATCTATGTTATCATTTGTTTTAATCATAATTTCATGAGTAATTTATGGGAGCTCAATTTGGTTCAGTTCCCAAAACTTTGTTCCATAGATTAATTTTTAACATGTTTAACATGTTTCCTTTTTCAAATTATAGACATAAATAGAACATTTCCAGATAATATAAAGTTCCGCAAAACTGCTGTTCCCTGTTTACAGAAAACACTCTACAATGTATTAGTAGCATATGGGCACCACAACCCATCTGTGGGCTACTGCCAGGTATGTAATACTAAAAAATAAATATCTTACTTTTGAAGTAGAAAATAATAGCAAACAAACTTCATATCATTAAATTTTACTCCTGTAGTGTCTTGAATGCTACTTGTATTTCAGTAGCTTAAGACATGCAATCTAGTTGTTTTCCATTTGAACCTCTTTGGAATTGCTTTGGAGATTGGTATTGAGCACCTCCTAACCAGCATTGGATCTGGGTTTAAGAAGAAGTACTGTGCCACATATGTGTCAGGACCTATAAACACTCTGTTACAGGTGACAGGAAACAAGTGAGAATGTACAAAGGAGAAGGGCACCATCAGCATGTCACTGAGAATGTATTCTAAGCCTTTTATCCTATTTCCTACTGCTTTTGATTATATTTAAGCTAAACTCAATCATTTGGAACAAATCTTATTGGTTAAGTTCATACTCTGTCCTAAGTAATAAACCATGATTGAGTAACCCACAAACATCGAGTGTATAATGTGCTAAGAGTAACCAGATCAAGTATGTTATAATTAAATATGATATTTGACAGATTTCAAAGGAATGGATTTTATCAAATCAAGATTGCAAACTAGGCTTTCAAGCAAGACCTTTTAATGATTAGGATGAGAGCCAGTTTGGTATAATGTTAAGGCACCAGGCTAGAAAACAAGAGACCATGAGTTCAACTTCTGTCTTATCTATGAAAGCCACCTGGGTGACCTTGGACCAGTAACTCTCTCTCAGCCCAACTCACCTCACAAGGTTGTTGTGGAGAAAATAGGAAAAGGAAGGTGTGTTGGATATGTTTACTGCCTTATTTGTTAAAATAATAAAAGGATATGAATGGATGGATGGATGGCATTTTGGGTCTCAGCACTGAAAAGCATCTTGAGATTAAGAACCATCTTTTTGGTGCAGCAAGTAAATTTCTTCTCTAAAAATTCAGATTCCACAAACAGGACTCTTCCATTGGGGTTAATCAAAAGGATTTTAAGAGCTTATAAATATTATTGAGGAGGGGCATGGATACCTGTGCTATACCATTTGATGATTGTAAGTCTGTTGAATGGGACTAGTCACATGACTACTATGACTTTACATACATATGTTCCTTGCACCAGTGGAGTTGCTTCCTTGTTGTTTCAGTAGAAAAGAATCTGGCTAAACATAGTTTTAGAGCAGCCTTTCCCAATTGATGTTCTTTAGCATAGTCTTGTAAGTTGGGGCTATGATATGCAGTATTCCTAGCCAGTATTATCAGTTTGAATATCAGTTCATCCAGCAGAACCAGTATAGCAAAGAATAGATCTAGGTTCTCCACCTGCCCAGGTGAGCCATTCCTCTTTCTCTCATTGGTGAAGCTTAATGGAATAATATTCTTCTTTTCCAAAATGCCCCCACAAGTAACATACATTTTCCCTGAAGGAGGGTATGAGGGGCAATCTGTAGAGGCTTGACAAAGCCAATTGAGGTGGAGAACCAACATTCTGTGCATGAAACATTTCCTCTGTTTAGGATGCAACAGGAAGGCAATTCTCCATACCAAGAAACTAGTTGACCTGTACATTCTCCCATTAAGAAAGTGCTGACAGGTATTTTAAGTGGAATACTTGCATGAATGACTGACAGTTCTTGATTGCCTTGCACTTTCCTCAAAGGAAGGCAGAACACATGAAAAAAGGATTGTTCATAAGAGTGTTTTTCTAGAGTGTCTATAGAAACTAACTCTGGTAGATATGGAAGTAGGAAAGGATTTGTCTTAAAACCATACTGCCAAGGGGAGCTGGTCTGGTAGTCCAAATTAGGCTTGTTAACAGAAAAATAATATCAAATTATAGAATAGAATTATTAGAATTAGAATTAGAATTAGAATTTGTCTCAGGTGCATAAACTCTTAGTGTACATACAAGCAACAAGTGATAAATCATGATTATAATCATAAAATACATTCATCATAAATCATAAGATACAATACTTACTGATGGTCATATGATACTAAATAAGCAGTCAACATAAATCATACTAGTATACTAAATAAAACAATTAATATAAATTGTAAGATATAAGCAACAAAGTTATAGTCATAAGAAGATAAGGAATAGGTAATAGGAAGGATAAGAAGTATAATAGTAATAAAGCCCTACTAGGTAGTTTGACAGTATTGTGGGAATTAGTTGTTTAGCAGAGTGATGGCATGGGGGTTGGGGGGAACTGTCTAGTTGTTTTGGCATGCAATGCTCATCTTGAGAGAAGAAGTTGAAACAGTTTATCTCCAGGATGTGAGGGGTCTATCCCTGTCCTAGAATAACTATCATGAATTCATTATACCATCAAATAATTTCAGTAGATGGTGACTTCAGAATACATCCACTGATTTCCAAAATATTTGGCAAATCAGTGCATCATTTAAAGGAATTCTGACAATTAGATGCTTTAGACAAGTTGGAGAATAACTACCATGAATTCATTTTACCATCAAATAATTTCAGTAGATGGTGACTTTAGCTTTGGAACATGCTGCTGTTATATTCTTCAAAATACATCCACTGTTTCCCAAAATATTTGACAAATCAGTGCATCAGTAGAGGAATTCTGACAATTATGTGCTTTAGAGCAGTTGAAGTTTTTCAACTGGATAAAATATGTTGAACATTGCAAGTGGCAGATTGTTCCAAGTACATAGACCTTTCAGAAGCAGTAGAATATATGTGATTCTGTGTAATTTAAGTTTATATTTCAGGAATTGTTAATTAGTTACCAGTACAAAAATGTTAATGTGACTGACAGCTAACCTATTTCAGAGACTCTCGCAGTGAGCATTCCTTTAAAAGAAATTGGACAAGCTTGCTTTGTTGTTTTCTGCAACAGTACTGGCGTGCATGGTTAATAAATGCACTTGCTCTTTAAACAGCCTCTGAGGGGTAGACCTTTGTAGTTCCTGCAACCAAATGCCAAATAGTCACCATGGTTGCTATTGTCAAGCAAACTAGCAGCACAACTGGAGGGCAAAATAACCCAACCACATGGAACGCTTTTTATACTGGTTGTTGGCTTTTCATAGATTAGAAAGAGGAGGTGGGGGAGAAGGGAGGCACTTTTTGAAGAAAGCCAATGTCATATCAACAGATGGTTATAAAGTTTTGGAAACTTAGAACAGCTGATTCTATTTGAATGACCTGAAATGTACTATAAAATAATATTGCCACTTTGATCTTTTTGTCTTGTTTGAATCTAAGCTGGCATTATTTATAAAATTAAAAGTATAATCTTGCTGCTTTTGAATTGACTGGAAAGATCAAGAACAGTTAGTGAAACAAAAGCTAAGAGAATTAAAAAGACAATGAGAAGCTGGAGATGCATTGAAATTAAATCTAAATTAATGCAAGTGATATTCTTCCTGAATATTTTAAAACTTACAGCTTACACATTTAACACTTCAAAAGCTACAGCATTAGTCAGCTTTGTTGCAAAGTAATTTTTGATTTGCAAACATGCTTAAGTATATTGAAAATATCTATTGGCATAGACACCGGTCTATAAGCTCGTAATAGGGCAAAGGCAAATTTTATACTGACAGCAGAGTCATTTTTTAAATTATCCCAGATCAGTTTCCTTTCTCGTTTATGTCAGATTAACCACCTTTCTCGTTTATGTCAGATTAACCATCTGGACTAATTTTTCATCAAAGCCTTGCAGCCCCACCCCCAAAGTGCTTCTATTGGATATGTGAGCAGAAGAAAGAATAAAGAATTCCTGTACTGCTTAACCAATGAGAAATAAAAAATGTTTTGCTTTTTTCTCTTTATTTCATTCTTTTGACTCCCTCTTTTGACATGAAAAAAATAAGAAATTCATATTTATTTCAGGGCATGAATTTCATAGCTGGATACTTGATTCTTATTACAAGGAATGAGGAGGAATCATTTTGGTTATTAGATGCCCTCATCGGCCGAATATTACCTGGTATGTTTGAATCTCACCTTACAATTCATTTCCTATGTTCTGAGATTCCAGAAGTCTAAATATATATGATGTACAATCAGTAATGCATTGAGAATTTATTCATTTTACACAAATAGCACATTCATGTCAGAAATTGCAAATTACTGCATGTGTTTCTTAAGTTGATGTTTACCTATATGCAAAATAAATATATGATGTTGTTTGCATCTTGTGATCAAATTTTTTTAAAAGGAGAATGTTTCCAGTGTAACTTTGCTCTGCATCGGGAAATGGAATGTATTTAGACAAGCTTTATCTGGTTATGTGGACTTTCATCTGCAGTCCATTCTCGGCTGATATTTTGCTATTTTTATGAGAAATGATTTGAAAAAAACTGACCTAAACCAGAGCTGCTCTTCTAAAAGCGTAAAGATATTTGTATACAGTAATTGTTAAAATAGGTCACCTGGCGTTCTTAGTGGATCTAGTAGCTTTAAAATAGCTTTTCATATACCAGACTGCTAGATAAAGCATTAGGTGTTCTAAATATATTGATGACTGTAGCTTAACTACTAAAAACAATGATTCAAAACAGTGCTTGGAAGCCAATGTATTTTTTTAAATAGCCAATATTGATAGATTATGTTGGACTATTTGCAAAATAGTTTACTCAAAGAACATAAAAGCCTTTGCTCTGAGGAAGATCATTAGCTTGACTTGAAGTCTTTTAATTTGGAATAGCTGTCCTTGTTCTCTACATCAGACCTGGGCATTTTACTCCCAGAATTCCCCTGCTAAGTTGGCCACTGCTGGGAATTATGAAGTTGATATCCACATATATAAAAGTTGTCCAAGAGTGGGGAAATCTGTTGTACACCACAACTTTTTGAAACACAGTATAGGCTCATTGATCTGCTTATATATATATCTGATAAAGTGATGCTGCTTTTCTTATTACTAATTCATTCCCATAGTACTGTCAAAGTAAGGAGGAATTTTTTTGGATGGCAGCATAAAATAGTATTTGGATAAGCTATCTGATGTCTTTCAGATGGAAGACATAAAATCCTTTATGACTTATTTAGTAAAAAATATCACATTCAACAGGATGAGGAATGATACACTGCACAGAATGTTATACTTCATCCTTAGAATCTAATCTACTCATAAAGTTGATGAGGTAGGTGTTTGCATGAATAAGCTTGGAGCGAATGTGAAAAATTAGATGGAGTCTATATTTCTATATACTGTGAATCTATTACATTTAAAGTAAACATGAAATGGAATATAGATATTGCAGAACTAAGCTGATTATATTACACTAGCTGTACCCGGCTACGTGTTGCTGTGGCTCAGACAGGTTAAATGTTTTTACCTGTCACAGGTGTGACATCTATATAATAGTAGGTATATAAAAACACGCGCGTATTCGAATGCAACGTTGTGTCAAAATTTCAAAGCAATCGGTGAAGAACTTTTGGAGATTTAAGATTTTGAACAAACGAACATTTACATTTTTATTTATATAGATTAAGAAAAATATTCAGTATTGGTTAACTATTAACTATGTGTCCAAAATAATTCAATTATTCCTATTTAATTTATTAGCTGCTTTCAGAAGCTACCACTAACAGTTTGACCATCACAAGAATCACCTTTGTATCTCTTGTCTGGTGGCAAAAATGTATATTTGAAATTAAATCTGTTTGATACATTTTTTAAATAAACCAGATTAAATCCTTGTGAACTATTACATAAAAAATACAGATTATTAAAAATTAGCTCCATTGATCCAGTTTTGATATTGAAAGAATTAAATCTTTGTAGGATAGAAATCCTTTCAAATCTATATTCCAACACATGTGATGATGGGATATTTAATCTAGTCTTAATAAAAGTAATTTGATGCTTATTATGGTCATTTGGAACTGATGCCAAAATTCCATTATAAGATGGATAAATTAATTTTGTTTATTTAGCTCCTGCATGGAGATGTTCCATAATCTCTGCTTAGTCCATATTGAGAAAGAATTAAAGGAAAAAATGCATATATATATATGCATGTACCTGGGTTGAAGAGAGGAGTGTATGTATGTGTTAAAGCAACATAATTAACTGTCAAGCATGGGGATGTATAGACTAAAATGCATAAATTGAGGAATAACTACTTTTGATTGATTATGTGCCATCAAATTGATGTTGGATCTTAGCAACTACATACTGTAGATAGTTTTTCTAGGATACTTTCCCTAACCTGGCCCATCATGTCTTCTAGCTGTGTGCCAATCTCTTCTGTAATGAAGTCCATTCACCTTGCTGTGAGTTAGCCTTTCTTCCCGTCTTTCCTTCCATCTTCTTGGTATTATAGACTTCAGAAAAAAATTAAGTCTTTGCATAATATGTCTAAACTATTATAATTTCAATCCAGGTATTTGTGCCTTTAGTGAGTACTGTATGTTGATTTGTTCAGTGATCCATGAGTTGGTTTTATTGATTATCCATGATATTTTTTTACATCATCAATATTAAAAAAACATTAATACTTTTTATGTCCTGCTTCTTTAATGTTCACTTCCACAGAGAGTATAAGGAAAACCAGTTCTTCCACAGTTCTCATCGTCATAGGTGTAGACACATCCCAGCATCTGAATATCTTTTTCAAGATTGCAATTCTACCAAGTACTAGTCTCTGGTATATTTCTTCACTGCTTGTTCCTTTACTATTGGTAATTGCTCCTAAAAAGAGAGAAGCTACCTACCACTTCAATATTTTCATTGTCAGTCCCTGTTGTCATGAGTTTGGTTGTCTTTATATTTAATCTTATTACCACTTTTTCACTCTGCTCTTTGACTTTCATTATTATCTTTGCATTTGTATTTTCAGCTAAAGGGGTAGTATTTTTATCATAGCACAGTTTACTGATGTTTCATCCTCCAATTTTTAAAACATGCATATCTTCTTTCAATTCAGTATCCCTTAATATCCAGTCCATTTTGCCATGTTCCACCTAGACTGTGACTTCCTCACCTGTGTATAGGTTTTGCATGAGGGCAATGAGAGATTCTGGGCTTTCCATTTTTTCTAAATACCGTATTTTCCCCAAAATAAGACTGTGTCTTATATTAATTATTGCTCCAAAAGACCCATTAGGGCTTATTTTCAGGTGATGTCTTATTTTTTTCATGTGCAACAGACATATCAAACAGAAGGCCCGTGGGCCGCATATGGCCCACAATGGGCCCATATCTGACTGATGGGGCCACCCCAGAGATGGTGAGGGACTGGCTCCCACCACCCCAGCCCAGCCAGGAGCCCCCCAGGGCACACAGGAGGCAGCGAGCACGCAGGGGCCGACTGTGTCCAGCAGTAGCTGCAGCCTGCTAGCCCCTTGGCCAGTGCACTTTGGGATTGCGCAGCTCATACAGCGCAGGTGAGTCCGAGCACTGTGACTGCTGGGCTGGCCCTCCAAGCAACATATGGAGGCAGAGGCGTAGAGGGGGCAATCCACTCACTCCGTCCCATCATCTGCCTTTGTTTGCCTGTGGCCGCCATGGGGCAAGCAGCCGCATGGCTTATTCAGCGGGCCAGATCGCATGCCTCCTGCGGTGCCTCTGCATCCACCTGCTTTTGGTGCCACCACCGCAAGATGAGGCATGTGGCAGGGTGACGTTGGCACCATTCCACAGCCCCTGAGCACTTGGCTCCCACCATCCAACCTCATTCTCCAGCTCCACCGCAAATGCGGGACAAGCTCCCACCCGCTGTCCCACCCACAATAGCCCCAGCAAACGGGAAGGGCAAGGAGCTCTGGTCCCCAAGAGGCAGCCAGGACTTCCCTTCCTGCTCCTTCCCACTCAAGCCCAGCCCCGGAGCTGCCCCACACGCCCTGGATCCACGCACCTTGGGGCCCTGTAGGCAGGCCAACCCCGCCCTGCCACCTGCCTTGCCTTGCCTCGTGGTGACATCCAGCAGGAGCCCCACTGCCCCTCAGCCCCCCCGTAGCCTGGGAAACCCAGCCCAGGCAAAGAGAGCAAGCACAGCAGCAGCAGCCTTGAGGAGGAGGCAAGTGCAACCAGATGCCCCTTCGGGGAAACGGGGTCGGGCTGCAGGGTCCTAGTGCCCCGGGAGCTCATGGGCTGGGCCAGAGCCTCAGGCAGCCGACACTACCATCTGCCCCCCCATGTGGCCCAAGAGGATTGGCACAGCTCCTCTGGTGGATCAGGCCTGGCGCCCGCCCCGGTCCCGCCCCCTTCGCCAGAAACCCCTGCATCCCCCCCAGCCCTGCCCAGGCACCCCCACAGGGCCCCCTGACACAAGTGACATCAACCTGGCCATGCCCCCCTGGGCAACCACAATACTGCTGGGGCCCTCTGGCTGACTATCTTAACTGGGGCTTATTTTGAGGTAGGGCTTATATTACGACCATCCTAAAAAATCATGCTAGGGCTTATTTTCTGGTTGGGTCTTAGTTTGGGGAAAACATGGCATATTCCACAACATGATATGATTGACACAACCACATAACTTTCTATAATCTATGAAGCACCCATCAATTTGGCTTTGAATAATGTTTTTTATTCCTTAGCCTTTTCTAAACCCTCTTGAACAACTGTAACTCTCATTCCAAGCAGGGCTCTAATTTACATTGGATGATCCTAAGCACTATTTTGCTTGCATGTGAAGAAAATCTTTTCTTCTGCATCAGTGATTGAAATACAAACTTGGATGAATAAGATAAGATAAGATAACCTTTATTGTCATTTTTATACTGTGGGCACAATGGCACACATCAAAAATGAAATTTAGTTGCCCGCTCTCAAAGTGAAACATATACATGACACACACCTAAACATACTATGAACAACGTATATATAGACCCACACCCCTACATATACGTAGCAAATAAATATTAAATATTGTCCATCTTGAATATATAACGGAAGGAGGAAGCTTGAGAGTTCGCAAGGTTAATGCTGTATGGAATGAAACTCTGGCTGAATCCGGATGTTCTGCTTCGGAT